TTCCTGCTCAGAGCAGAGAGAACTCCTGTCTGTGTCTGTGCTCACCCTCAGACCTGCCTCACCCCTGACCCTCCTCTTCCTCTCAGCTCCTGATAAAAGACTGTTACCACTTTGCAAACAAAAGTCTGTTCATGGGTTCATCCTTCCCCCATTTTCCCCTCAATATTCACCCTTTTTTCTCTGTTTCCTACTGGGTCCCCCCCCTTCCCCTTTTCCACCCAATCTGTAACTTCCCATTGATTCACTTCCTGGTTTTAATAGAATAATGGAGGGGTTTGGGTTGGAAGGGACCTGAAAGATCATCTAGATCCAACCCCTGCATGGGCAGGGACACCTCCCAGCAGCCCAGGCTGCTCCAAGCCCCATCCAACCTGCCCTTCACCCCCCCCGGGGATGGGGCAGCCACAGCTTCCCTGGCCAACCTGGGCCAGGCTCTCCCCACCCTCACAGCCCAGAATTTCTCCCTCTCATCTCAGCTCCAGCTCCCTCTGCCAGCTGGAAACCCTTCCCCCTGCTCCCATCCCTCCCTGCCCTTGTCCCAAGCCCCTCCCCAGCTTTCCTGGAGCCCCTTCAGGCACTGGAAGCTGCTCTCAGCTCTCCCTGGAGCCTTCTCTTCTCCAGGCTGGACACCCCAACTCTCCCAGCCTGGCTCCAGAGCTGCTCCAGCCCTCCCAGCATCTCCGGGGCCTCCTCTGGCCTCTCTCCAACAGCTCCGTGTCCTTCCTGTGCTGGGGACCCCAGAGCTGTTCCCAGCCCTGCAGGGGGGTCTCAGCAGAGCAGAGCAGAGGGGACAATCCCCTCCCTGGCCCTGCTGGTCCCGCTGCTGGTGACACAGCCCAGGACACGGGTGGGTTCTGGGCTCCAGTGCACAGTGCTGGCTCATGTTGAGCTTCTCCTCACCCAACACTCCAAGTTCTTCTCCCCAGGCCTGCTCTGAATCCCTTCATCCCCAGCCTGTGTTGATACTGGGGATTGCTCCAAATGAGTCCAAAGAGACTCAAAGTTGGACCTTTTCTGGAGAAGTGTCACAAAACAGGTCCAGAAGGGGCCTGGTGAAGGTACCTTACCTGTGCCTTTGCCCTAAGACAGGATCAGCTCAGCTGAAATGGTTACAATGAGATGTTCAGGACAACCATCTGTGCTGGTGACTCTGCCCAGACCAACCTGCTTCCCAGTTTCATTTCCCACCCCTTTCCTAACCTCAGGTCTCTGTCCCACCAGCTCAGCCCTTGACTCATTGTCCAATCCCCATGGTCTGGTCTTTCCCACCTCTCTGCAGCATCTTTCCTTTGCTTCAGGACACTTTCCTCTCCCTGCTGCCTCCAAGGCCACCTCCTGCTTTTGCTCTGTGCTCTGGCATCTCTGCAGCCTTGAACAGACCTCACCATGTTTGAGGTTTGGTCTCATTATGGCCAATTCTGATGCAGCTTCTCATGTCCAACATAGAGACCTTCTCTGGCCGGAGCTTGTTTGCTCTGAAGAGCATAAGAACTGTTCCACCAGATCAAATTAAAGGTCCCTCCATCCTGCCCTCCTGCCTTGCAGAGTGGCTATTAATGGCCATTTAGGAAGGTAATTTACAGTTTATCTCTCCCTTGGCACATGTCCCAGCACCCAGCAGTCAATTGAGAGGCTTTCTGACCAGGAGGCAGCACCTCGGCTGTCATCTTTAATAGAAATCAATTAACCCTCGCCCATGGATTTCTCTAATACCTTTTAAAACCTTTTATGTACTCTGGGCTCCCTCAGCATCCAGTGGTGGTGAGTTCCATAAATTCTTGATGAAATGTCTTTAGGTTTCTAATTTGTTTTACATTTCCTGCCTGGTGTTTTCAGGGCGCTTCTTGTTCACACAGTGTGAGAAAAGATGAACAATCACTGGGAGAGAAGATGGACCCTTCCCCACAATCATCCCACATGTATCTTCTCCTCCCCATGTATTATCCCACACACCTTTCCTCAGTTGCTTTATTGTCCCTTCTTAAGGCTGAAGAGCCCTTTTCTAATCATCTGCCCTTCTACAGGAACTTCCCTGAAGTGCTCAGCTGGTTGAACTAGAGGATCATTGTAGGTCCCCTCCTCTTCTCTTCTCTTCTCTTCTCTTCTCTTCTCTTCTCTTCTCTTCTCTTCTCTTCTCTTCTCTTCTCTTCTCTTCTCTTCTCTTCTCTTCTCTTCTCTTCTCTTCTCTTCTCTTCTCTTCTCTTCTCTTCTCTTCTCTTCTCTTCTCTTCTCTTCTCTTCTCTTCTCTTCTCTTCTCTTCTCTTCTCTTCTCTTCTCTTCTCTTCTCTTCTCTTCTCTTCTCTTCTCTTCTCTTCTCTTCTCTTCCTCCCCCCCCCCCCCTCCTCTCCTCTCCTCTCCTCTCCTCTCCTCTCCTCTCCTCTCCTCTCCTCTTCCCCCTTCTCTTCCTCTTCCCCAACAGTGAGAGCCTGGCCCAGGTTGCCCAGGGAAGCTGTGGCTGCCCCATCCCTGGGGGTGTTGAAGGGCAGGTTGGATGGGGCAGGGAGCAGCCTGGAATGGTGGGTGCTGTCCCTGCCCATGCAGGGTGGGACTGCATGAGATTTAATTTCCCTTCCAATCCCAACCAGTCTGAGATTCTGTGATTGCTCAGAATTAATCCCTGTAAATGAACAGTTCTTTGGCCAACAAGCCCTTTGTGCTCTAACAGGAGGTGCCCACATCCTGCAGACTCCTGGGACCTGCTGAAGTGCTGCTGGGCTGAGCTGAGCAGCACCCTGGGGACCTGGGTCACAGTTTGCTGGTGTCCTCACTGGGCAGAGCCCCAGCCCGGGCTGGTTCCCCACCACAGAGGAGCCTCTCAGGTCCAGAGGCTGGTTTTGCTCCAGACCCCTCACACGAGGACACACAAACTCATCCCCTCTCCCATGTCTGGGTTTGGCAGGAGCAGAAACTGAGTCAACAGCAACTTCCCCCTCCCAGCTGAGGTGGCAAAGATAAACTGACCACGAGTCCTCCAGATGAACAGGCTCCAGGGCCACGCAGAGGTTCCTGCTCCAGGGGCTGTGTTTGCCTTCGGAATATTGAGTTTGTTTTCACTGGGCCATTTATCACTCTTTTAATTAAGCATTTAGTGTCTCAGTGCTCACGGGCTGGGGGGGGTTTAGCTGGAACTTCACGTCATTTCATCTCCTCGGGGCGACGCCGCGAGCGCTTTTCCTGCAGGATTGATCACTGTTTGCATTGCTGCTCCTTCCTGACAGTAAGAATCACGTCCCTGGCCAGCAGGGCCATAAATCACAGGGAGCTGTAAAAGGCCCGGCCCAAGAAACTGCCAGGAGGGAAACGGTGCCTGCCGGGAGCATCAGCAGCGGGGAAACCAACCACGACAGAAACCAACCCAACCAACCCGAGCAGGAGGGTTTGTTTCCCAGGCTGCTGCTCCTGGGAGCCCTCGGGCTGTTTGTGCCCCCGGGACCTGGGTGGTTGGGCTGGTCAGTCCTGGGGGGATTACAAGCTCTGCCTGCCCAGCGCCGGGACGTGGAGCTGCCCAGGTCAGGACGTGCCAGAGCCCCCTCGGTGAGTACCCCGGGCAATGAGCAGCCTGGTGATCATCACAGTCCTCCTTTACTAGTGAGGGGGGATGGTGGTTTATGGATGGTTATGGGGGTTTATGGACCCCAGCGTGGGTGGGGAGGTGGGTCCCCAGAGTGACCCTTGGGTGGTTCACACCGTTCTGTTGGGTTGGGTGTTGAGGAGGTGAGGGGCTGTGATGACAGGCAGGGCTGGCAGGGGAGCTCTGGCCATGGGGTCTTTCCCATCTCGTCTGCTCTGCTGAGACCCCCCTGCAGGGCTGGGAACAGCTCTGGGGTCCCCAGCACAGGAAGGACACGGAGCTGTTGGAGAGAGGCCAGAGGAGGCCCCGGAGATGCTGGGAGGGCTGGAGCAGCTCTGCTCTGGAGCCAGGCTGGGAGAGTTGGGGTGTTGAGCCTGGAGAAGAGAAGGCTCCAGGGAGAGCTGAGAGCAGCTTCCAGGGCCTGAAGGGGCTCCAGGAAAGCTGGGGAGGGGCCTGGGACAAGGGCAGGGAGGGATGGGAGCAGGGGGAAGGGTTTCCAGCTGGCAGAGGGAGCTGGAGCTGAGATGGGAGGGAGAAATTCTGGGCTGTGAGGGTGGGGAGAGCCTGGCCCAGGTTGCCCAGAGAAGCTGTGGCTGCCCCATCCCTGGGGGTGTTGAAGGGCAGGTTGGATGGGGCTTGGAGCAGCCTGGGCTGCTGGGAGGTGTCCCTGCCCATGCAGGGGGGGCACTGGGTGGGATTTGAGGTCCCTTCCTA